GGGGGGGGGGGGGGTTGTCGGGACAGATTCAGCATCACGAATTATGATCAGCAATACGTAGCGGGGCGAGGATAGGATTTTTAGATTTGTCCAGTTATAATGAAATTTGCGATTCAGAAACTCTATATGTAGGTAATGTATGCATACAAAAATGGAAAAATTATCTAATTTTTTTGAGATTTTAGAAATTTAAAAGTAAAATTGACAGTTTGATGCTACCAAAGGTAAAAAATTAAAAGAAATATAAGATATATTCTTACTATGAGATGTATGGTTGCTAGTTCGTGTTCTCCTGAAGTCGGTGATTAGCTTTGTGAATCTTATACAATAATCCTTGAGTGACCAGATCGAAGATATTCCTAGGATAGAGTGTTGTGTCAAATTGGGGTGGAGGTTTGCTCTGTGTTCAGCTTGACTTTACTCAAACCGTTCTATAGATTCAGCATGCTGAAGTGAAAATTAAAAAAAATGCTCTCATTCTATTTTTTTGACCCCTGGTTTCATTTTCTCAAATTTTTGTTAATATTGTCTTACAGCCGAAGTGCATGTTCAGATGTGCCCCATTTTATTCAACTACTGAAATTTGTAAAATAAGGATGTTGGATTTTGGAGATTATAATACTATTGTAGTCAACTATTTTTCTGAACTACCTTTTATTTATTTATCATTTGTTATATACTTATTTTGTTTGGTGTGGAGGTAGGGGTGGGGGTGGGGGTGGTACTGCTGTTAATTTCTTATTCTTGATAATTATACAGGGACTTTAATTTTGCGTTCTTGATTTTGTAAATTTCTTGTTATACCAGAGCTCTTCAGAAATTATTTGAAGCAAATTCGGGAAGAAACAAGTGGAAGATTATTGAGCGTGGCGTATCGACCCAATGGGACACCCAACAAATGGTGGTTGGCATTTGCAAAGAGGAAGTTTATGAACATTATTGTACCTTGAAATATACATTTCAAAGATGATACAATGTTGGACATCTATGACTTGAGCAAGCTCACCTCTAAATATAAGCCATCCCGTTCATGAAGGTGATATATATTGGTATAAAATTGCGTCTTTTCTTTGTTTAATCTTTATGCTTCTTTAATTCTTGCAGTGTAGTTCTAAACATATATTATGGTTTTTAAGAAAATAATAATGCTTACATTTTCAAGTAATTGTTATTTGCGATTTGGACCTTCACAATAACTTTCATCGAGTGTACTTTTACATGATTTACTTACTCGAGATCTCTTCTTTCTGCGAATGTGCCTGCGTCTTTTTATTTCCTTTTTGATAGAAATGTCGCTTCGTTCCGAACAATCGGCTTCGGGGATAAACATGATCTCTTGGTTAGGCGTCTGTTGATACAGATGGAAATTCGGGATCTGAGGGACCGGCTGAATTGCATTGGTTTCACACCCGGAGAACAACATCCGGAGCAACGACCCCAACATTTTGGAAGATATCTTGAGAAAAGGTTTTAGCACCGGGGTATCCTATATGTACTCCAGTTTATTCGAAGTATCCCAATGGTGGAACGTCGTCGACTTATTGGGAAAAAGGATGATCACTTTGATCTCTTGTTTCGGAGAAATAAGTGGCTCACGAGGAATGGAAAGCACTTTTCAGATAGTTGGTTTAGGTCGGAGAAAAAATATTTCATTCCGTTCCATTTCCGCCTTCGCTAGTTGAATTTTCGCTGATCAAAATACTTTTTGACTCCACTCTTGTTACATATGCTACGTCATGCATAAATCTCTCTTGGCATGTTCGATCTCATGGGTTTGGAAATACTAGATGGGATTAAACAAGACAAATTGTTTGTGCCTTGGTCGACCTCTCATTTTCTAAGAAAAATCTTGAGTTGATACGCTATTCTCAATTTACATTTTTTATAACAGTTTAATACAAAACAAGTTGGATCCACAAACTCGCAATATTAAGCCCTCGTTTGTCTACTATTTTTACAAACATTGTTTTCTAGAATAAACAATTTCAACCACGTATTCACTGAATAAAATATTCTACATACAAACCAACTAGAACAGTGGAATGGGTACATAACACTACACATAATGGTTCACATAAAGGGCAAGTGGTGCCTCCCCATTGGAGGGGCGCCTCGGGCCCACCTGTGGGCCGAGGTGCTCCTCCAATGGGGATGCGCCACTTGACCCTTATGTGAAACATTATGGAAAATGCTATGTACCAATATCATTTCCCAACCAATAAAGTTACTTTAAATTTTAACCACACTCTCCAAAAAATACTATTCCTTACTCCATTTTTCTACCAATAATGGTAGACAAACAGGCTCTAAGTTGCAACTATATTACCTAGTATGAGTAAGCCCCTGTTTTGCCCCAATTATTTTGCATTTTTTGGGGTTGAAAATTTTTAAAATAGTGATTGATGGGAGAATGTGTGGTTGAAATTTTTTTGATTTGTGTGTAATATTATTTTATTTGATGAATGTGTGGTTGAAATGAAGAGAGAGAAAAATTTAATGTAATGTAATGTAATTTAATGGGGGCCAAACAAGGGCTTAGTTAGCTTCGAATTCGGATGGAGTCATGGAGCAGCAGCGGGTCGAAGGCCTCTACCCAAATATAATGTAATGTAATTTAATGGAGGTCAAACAAGAGCTAAGTGTCGGTTCAAAAATATAAAGATTAGCATCAATATCCAAATAACTTGATGTATTTCAGATTTTGTGTCTGAAAAAATCCTCATTGATGTTAATATTGATTAACATTGCATTTAACAAAAAACATGCAATGCTACAAGCATTAACATGGTAGTTAAAGAAGAAGATTTATAATCACATAGGCAGTTCTAGTGCAAAAACAAAAGGTGTGGAGTCTCTATGTCAAAATGAAAAATATTCAGGGGTGTCTCTGCAAATTACTGCTGCTGCTGACGTTCTCACAATAATGTGCACGGCTATAACTGGGAAAAATGAGTTTTTGAAGGATAATATTTTGGAAATATCCTCGATTTTTTTAAAAAAACATACATTTTTAAATAGCCTTTTTACCCAATTTCAATCATATATTATTCAATAAAATAATATTACATATAAATTCAAAGATTTTCATTATTTTTTATTCACACATATTCCATCAACACATTATTTAAAATTGTATTTTTTTTTTTTTTGGATAAAAAGGGGGCTCAAACAAGCCCTATTATTGTTTAAAAGTTGAAAAAAATATTTTAATTTAAAAATGTATGATTGAAAATAATACAAAAAATGAATTTTGAAAGAATGGTTGTGAGCCAAGTCTTTTTTATAATTTTAAGGGATAATTGCAGTAAAAGTCTCAAATTTTTAAAGCATTAGTAGACTTTTTCCAAACCTTTGATTTGTTGCAATCGTCACCCCTAACATTTCCAATCATTGCATGTGAGACCCTTTTGAATGGTTTCCATCCATTATTTCGTTGGTTAACCACCAAAATTAAGTTTGAACATATTTTAATCAATTAAAAGGAACAAATAGTAAATATCTATTAAAATAATTAAATGAAAGGATAATTGAATAAAAAATAAAAGATCTCTTCTTTACCCACGAACCCCCACACCCAACCACAAAACCACCCCACCCGTCTCTCATCACCGACGCTAACGAATATCGACTTCTCAACCTAGAGCTCTACTTGTCGATGTTCCATACCAGACTAAGACAAAAAGGGAAGCAACCATGCAATCGTTGACTGGAGAAAGATAAAAAAAGGAAGCAACTAATCATAGATTATTGTTAGCACTAAAAAAAAAGGTGTCCGCGTCGCGGAGTGTGCGGAGATGTGCACTCACTGTGGAGTGAAAACTCTGCACAGCAAGGAGTCTTTCTCCCGCGATGTGCGGAGTGTGGACATCGGTGTCCACACTATACTTACACGGTGTATTTTTTTTAACCCACCCCCATGCGTGTTGTGTACTGTTCATATTTATATTAAATATTAAAATTTAAGTTAGATTTGTTTATAAATAAATGATATTATTAATATACATTGTGTGTTTTGAATGATTTGTGTAGAGAATACACATTCTATGTTGTATCTGCAAGAAAAAAAAAAGTTTATTGGAGAAAAAACTGTTAACTTCCAACAGACACAACTCTTTAACACATACACATCCCCGTCGAGGGTGTTGTTCTCGAGCCTCTAGTATTCAGGTAGAGATTTTAGGAGTAACTCTGAATAAGAGGAGCTACGACAAAGTTTTAGGAGATTACAAATGATTAAGAGGAAAAAAACCAAGTGTTTAAGACATTAAAAATCCAATCAATACAATATTAGGAGATTCAAACGTGAGTGAGCTGAAGTCACTGGATGTACATGTGGATCATGTGATAATTTTAGATTCTCTTTAGTTCTACTGATACTCATTTCATACAAGATCAAAACCATCAAATTTTGGACTTATTTCGATATATTAAACATCAACATGTTAAATTGATTTGTTTATGATGCATTTCCATTCAATACTTAAAAAAGAGTTAGTAAAAGAACAAACATTTGTTTTTACCTCTTGTTCATACCACAAATTTTAAATGCGATAATTTTATTAGATTAAAGCATACATTAGTTACACGAGAATCCTACACATCTAATATACTAACATTATGTTAAAGAAAATTCAGTCTGTGCAAGACTAGTGTGGGGCAAAATTCGATGGAGCCATCTCGGATGGTCGACACGTCAGATGCGAGCTCGGCAACTGATTGCCGCCAAACCTGCTCCATCCCTAATTTCTTATGTTTACATTTATTTCCGTAAATTTAAATTGGTTTTAATAAATAAATAAAAAGTATTACAAAAACCAATATTGAAATAGTATACCAAATGAGAGGGAGAAGATGGAAAATAGGGGATACAGAAGCATCCAAGTGGCTCTAATTCTACCTCAAATCTTGCTTTAATTCTTTGCACACTCCCATTCCACACGCACTGATGAATACAATGGCTAGTTCTTTAACAATCTCCATGTACAAACTCGATTTATGGTCCCATAAAACAATCAAGAGTGCATCCTCTTCAATCCCTTTTAACAATAAAACCCGCCATTTCTCCTTCCAATTCTTGATTTCTAATACAGCTTCAAGATTTAGTCTCCCAAACTGTAAGTTTTCCATTTCTAATTCACTAGTGGATAACTGTTTAGTTGATGGCGATGCCCAAAAAAACACGCCCCCATTTGAAGTTAAAACCAGGTAGTATTCTTTTCTATAATTTAGTTTATGGTTTTTTACCCTTTTATTTTTTTATAATTTTTTGCCAACATTGGTAACTGAATTTAGTAAATTTTGATGTATGCATGCATTCATGAAAGAAGTATTCAGAATTTGATATCGAGGAAGCGTCATTTGTATTGTTTGTTGTGTGTGATTATTAGTTAGCTACTTAATTTGAGAGTAAGCTGTGAATTATGTCAGAAACTATAAATCGAAGATAAAATAAACACAGCAATGAAAATAATACCAGAATTGCATTGCATTTCTCTCTACAAATTACAAAAAATATATTTCTTGGGTTACGAGTCTGAATTCAAACATCTATAGAAATTGCAAATCACACAATTATGAAAAAGAGTAATTTTTTACAAAAAAAAAAAAAAAAAAGAAAAGATTAGAGTAACTTCTAAAATGCTCTGGAGCATGTTTGTCAAAAAAAGTCACTTAAAAGTAACTTCGAAACTTAGACAAACATGTTGTAATGTGTATGGCATTGAGATGGGATGCCAAGAATAATTCGTGGCTAGGTGTGACTTGATGGCAGGATAGTGTCTATGACTACCTGAGTTGGTTATTGATGGCTTCAGCTAAAGTTTCAGGCATCAATTGCAAAGTTATGGTTTTATATGGGCATTGAGTTGGTTTTCAATCGTGTGCTGCTTCGGTCAGTAAAAGTTGTGGGTACCACACGCCAGACTTGTGGGTGATGGTATGTGGTATACTCTGGTATTACTTGATGGGTACGTGGTGAGTCTTGATAACGCGTGTTCGTCCCCAGTCATTGGAGTTGTACTGGTCTCCTTAAATCTTCTAATTTGTTATAATGGAGGTTTCTGTCATAAACTGTTGGTTGAACAACTTTTTGTCTTTCACGATGACCAGGCATTGATGCCAATACTCTGATACCACTTCACAATGAAGACGTGCAGAAGAAGTAGGAGGTGATACTAGTGCACACGCTCAAAGATCAAACTCGCCTTCCCAAGGAATCCATCCAAAGGATAAAAAAGGAATAATCTTATTCTCAAGACCTAAAATCTCAAAATTCATGTAAAAGTGAGCTTCCTGGTGATTATGTGCAATGACTTTCCATGTAGCTGACCTTTCTCCTTGCATCCTTATGTTGAAAAAAATTAAACCTCAAGTGCAAACCAGGTCATGCAGTGCAGTAAATCAAGGCGATGGTTTAGCCCTTGTGGGAATAAGCACATCTGAAAGAGGATTTTTCTGTCCTAATATACTAACTGGGACTGAACTATGCACCTTGCAAAGTGGTTACTTAGGGAAAGATGTGCTAATAATTTCTTGTGAGATGGTAAATAGTACTAACTGGAGATAAACAAGACTAGATAAATAACCTAGATGTGTTTATATTTTCAGTTTATATCTACAAGTGTTATTGATAATTAATAGGGAATATCATGGAATATCATGTTATTAAGTTGAATTGAGAAGTGTTGAACCACCTCATCCTGAAGCTAAAACACTTATAGAGGGGATAAACCTATATAATTAAATTATGTCTTCAACATACCCCATCTCATAGGCCAGATTTAGTTTTTCATCGAAGGACTAACATACACACATTTCATAAATAGGTGGAGGTGAGAATTGAAATTAAGACTGCCTGCTGTGATACTATGTTGAACTATTTTATCTAAAAGTTTAAATTGTTAGAGGGTGGGGAAATTTATTTAAATTATGTCTACAATGAAAACCATATGCATAATGTCATCCTACCGCTATATTGAACTGCTAATATGCTGGCCTTAATATCTTTTAATTTGTTGAATGAGGGCCCAACATGCATTATAAAGCAATGAGTCCAATCACGGGCTTGTGTGCTGTTTTCTTTACATATACATACTTCACTTGTCATAATACTGAAATGGCTCTTGTTAATCAACTCTCTGTCCATCTTCAGTTTATTTGTTCCAATATTTTAACATAGGTGACAAAATTTTTCCTGGACATGACCCAGTTTTTATATACCGGTAAAAAGTTTGATGTTAGTAGGCTTGCTGCATTCTATCAATTTCCATGAGGTTATAGGGGTTATGAGCTCGAGATACTTGTTATTTTCCCTTGTCTACATATGTATGAATCAAATATTTATTGAAAGAATTTCAGAAATTCTAATTTGTAGTTTTTATTTCATACGTTTTTGTCTTGTAGTATGTGGAACTGGAGAGGTTATTCTATTCGCTACCAGTATTCTGGAAGTAGTGGACCTGCCTTGGTTTTGGTTCATGGTTTTGGAGCAAACAGGTCTACACTGATATTTTCTTCCCATCAACTGTTTAATATAGGTACTACTTACAAAACTGCATAGCAGAGTAGTGTTTTTTTTATCTTTTAATGTATGAGCCTTCTCACTCCATGTGTGTCTAATATGTAGGAATGGCAAGAAAGCAGTTTAGCTTTACATTTTTCAACGTTTAAAAATGTACTTTTTCATCTTAATTTGATCATTGAAACAATGATTCTTTGCATTTCGATGCAATTTGTTGTATTTTTATGGACATTTGTGGCTTCCATGTTATATGTCCAACAGTGACCACTGGCGGAAAAATATACCAGTTCTTGCGGAGGGACACAGGGTTTACTCAATTGATCTCATTGGTTATGGTTACTCTGACAAACCAAATCCTCGTGAGCTTGGACAAAACTCCTTGTACACATTTGAAACATGGGCTTGCCAATTGAATGACTTCTGTACTGATGTTGTCAAGGATCAAGCCTTCTTTATCTGCAACTCCATTGGAGGTGATCTTTATTATAGCATTTCCTTTCCATGAAATATGGAAATAATGGTTGTGTGCTTCTAATGTGTGGATAATTTCCATTCAGCATATAATTTTAGAACTGTTGGTAAGAAAACAAAATTAAGTTGATCATTCTTTTCTATTTTCACTCTTTAGTTGTATTGGTGTTCGTTGTGCTTATTGGGCCAGAATATGGACATTTATATGCACAGCCACACACTTCCATTCTTATGAGTACATTATCTTTAGAAGAAATCAGTATTTCCTACAAAATTTCTTAATCTTAAAATGACATTCACGGAGTTTTGAAGATTAGACCTGTACAGTATCTGCTTTTGTTATTAAGACTTCAACATCCGTTATTCTGCTTTTAGTTTTATTAAACACACTAACAGTATTAAACGCTTAATTTACTGTATCTATTTCTCCATGTTTGATATGATCTTAGATTGGGGAATGTTGATCTGTAATTATAGCTCTGTTCCTAGATTTCTTATAATTCTGCATTATGCAGCATATCTGAATTTCTCTTTGTTTTTGGACCCACAATATTGAATCTAGAGACCCAGTTTTTTCAAAAAGCGAGCTCAATTCTTTCGATTAGTGTCTTTTAGTGGTTTTACCTCGTCTAGTGTATTTACCTGGTATGTATACTAATTTAGCCAATTTAACTAGAAGATCAAGAGCATAGGCCCATGCTTCCTAGGTATTTGTCACTGAAAACCGTTAATTGTATGATGCAAACAATCTTTACTTGCTTGCTAAATGCAGGAGTTGTTGGTCTCCAGGCAGCAGTCATGAAGCCTGAAATTTGTAGGGGCATTTTTCTCTTAAATATATCGCTTCGTATGCTGCACATAAAGAAGCAACCCTGGTATGGGAGACCCCTTATTAAATCATTCCAGAGTTTACTGAGGTGAGTTTGGTTCATTGGATTTTTAATTTTATCCAGTCTTAAACTTTTAGTTACTGTTAAAGGATTTCATTGTGTTTGTCCATTTCATCAGGAATACTGGTGTGGGAAAATTCTTCTTTAAAGCTGTAGCCACACCAGATTCAGTGAGGAACATTCTTTGTCAGGTAAACAACTGTAAAGGAGGATCTACATTACCAATTAAAAGTACGCAAAATGTGGATGAGTAGCTGATAATTTGTTGTTGGATATTGATACAAACTTAACTATTGATTTGATGTGACAAATATTTCCATTTGATCACCATAATCAATAATTTAATGATATTTACAGGGGACATCTGAAGTGAGAGTTTTTAAACCTGTAAAGAAGTTTCAGACATTGAATCGCTGTAATTATGTTCGAGGGGATAAAAATTAATTCAATAGTTCCATGGGAAGCCCCTAATAATTAATAGCATTATTGAAAAATGGTTTTAACTTTTTCATGTCTAATTTAAGCTGCAAGTTCATGACAACTGTATCAATGTCTTTTTTTTTTTCTTCTGAGAATTACATGCCATATTACATTCTGACTGGTTCTGATGAATGTATTTCAGTGCTATAATGACACATCCCAGGTGACGGATGAATTAGTTGACATAATTCTTCGACCAGGACTTGAGCCTGGTGCTGCAGATGTATTTCTTGAGTTCATATGTTACTCAGGAGGGCCACTTCCTGAGGAACTACTCCCCCAAGTGAAGGTCATATTCTCAAACTGAACTTTGTTATGCGTTTGGTCATCTTTTTTGGTGCTTCTTTGCTCATATGACTATAACAACATTTCTTAATGCATCGCCTCTTTGCAGTGCCCTGTTTTGGTGGCATGGGGCGAAAAGGATCCATGGGAACCTATTGATCTCGGGAGAGCCTGTGCTGAATTTGATTCTGTAGAGGATTTTGTTGTCCTGCCTAATGTTGGTCACTGTCCTCAGGTTCCCCTCTATCTCTCTCTCTCTCTCTCCCCCCATTTATTAGTGTGGTAAACCCTTTACACGTCTACCTAGAAAATTCATTTACATCTCTTAAATTTACTACCACAATTCATTTGAACACCTAGAAATGTTAATGTCCTCTTACTGCAATAAACATTACTTTCTCTGAAGGACGAGGCGCCTCATCTCGTAAATCCACTTGTCATGTCCTTTGTGGCGCGTCACGTAAAAAGAAGCGCTAGCCTATCCTCAGCAGCTTTCTGATTTGTGGTAATTGGAAGGTCGACTTGTATCCCGGTGTCTTTCAACCACCTACTTCTTCATGTAATAAAACTACATTATCAACTTTGCATGTTTCTTAAAGAAAGTGATATAGATATGAATTTGTGGTCTACCGATAGGACACATTTGATTTGTAGTACTGCAGAGGACCCGACAATATAATAAAAAAATATTCTAAAATAATAGAATATTTGTCATACGCTTGGTGAGAAGTTTCTCTTCGTAATTTCATAACATGTATTGAGAAAATTAATACGTGGCATGTATTTTCCCCCACACTAAAAGAATGTAGAGGCAAGTGGCATTAAAAATGAGATAAGCCTCTTGTATGAATTAAGCTAAATGAACATAATGCTTGACATAGGGGTTGACCGACTTCTCACATTGCATGTGGGTCCCGACCTGAATTAAATAATGCCGACCTCCCCCATGTGTGTATGTTGTGTCATCCCCTATATCAAGTATTATGTTTATGTAACAAAACTCCTCTTGTATAGGGGAGATTGCCAGGGTAGTGTACATGGACTGAGATGACAGCCTTGATTGGATGTTTTAAATTTATTTTTTGGTCAAATTTCAATGAAATGTTGCCATTTGGCAACCTATAACCCCATCTGGCGAATATGTCTGTACACATAGCATTGTTCTTAAAAGTGATAGATAATTTTTATTTATTTTGTAAAATAATTGATAACAATGAAGGGATAATAGCATATGTGGTACTCAATTTCAAAATTGTATGGGAATATATCTTTTAACTTTTAAAAATAGGAACAAGTATCCTAATGTTTGAGGAAATAGGCATGATAAATTCCTGATGATGGAATCCTTTCATTTTAGCCGTTAAGGTTGTTGGAAAATTTCGTGTATGGAGTGATAAACAACTTCGAGAAATTCTTCAAATTATCTTTAAAATTCTGTAGAAATTTCGGCAGAGTAACTGTAGGAAATAGATTCCAAATAAATCCTAAAAAATATGCAGTATAGCAGCAATAATATCAAAGTCGAGGCAAGTGTTGAACACTTTGTCCTTAAATCGAATTTGTCCCGCAACAGTGTCTACGCTTTATGGTAATCAACTTCCAAGATATAACGATTATATTCTTGTGTGAGTAGCACTACAACACACAAGAAACAGCGAACCATAACTTGGTTTACGAACTTCGATAAGCAAAGTGAAGAAAATTAGAATTTATGCAACAAGAATGTAAGAATTTGATAGAGAAATGAGAGAAAATGAATGCTAAATGTATTTTCCCCCACACTAAAAGAATGTAGAGGCAAGTGGCATTAAAAATGAGATAAGCCTCTTGTATGAATTAAGCTAAATGAACATAATGCTTGACATAGGGGTTGACCGACTTCTCACATTGCATGTGGGTCCCGACCTGAATTAAATAATGCCGACCTCCCCCATGTGTGTATGTTGTGTCATCCCCTATATCAAGTATTATGTTTATGTAACAAAACTCCTCTTGTATAGGGGAGATTGCCAGGGTAGTGTACATGGACTGAGATGACAGCCTTGATTGGATGTTTTAAATTTATTTTTTGGTCAAATTTCAATGAAATGTTGCCATTTGGCAACCTATAACCCCATCTGGCGAATATGTCTGTACACATAGCATTGTTCTTAAAAGTGATAGATAATTTTTATTTATTTTGTAAAATAATTGATAACAATGAAGGGATAATAGCATATGTGGTACTCAATTTCAAAATTGTATGGGAATATATCTTTTAACTTTTAAAAATAGGAACAAGTATCCTAATGTTTGAGGAAATAGGCATGGTAAATTCCTAATGATGGAATCCTTTCATTTTAGTCGTTAAGGTTGTTGGAAAATTTCGTGTATGGAGCGATAAACAACTTCGAGAAATTCTTCAAATTATCTTTAAAATTCTGTAGAAATTTTGGCAGAGTAACTGTAGGAAATAGATTCCAAATAAATCCTAAAAAATATGCAGTATAGCAGCAATAATATCAAAGTCGAGGCAAGTGTTGAACACTTTGTCCTTAAGTCGAATTTGTCCCGCAACAGTGTCTACGCTTTATGGTAATCAACTTCCAAGATATAACGATTATATTCTTGTGTGAGTAGCACTACAACACACAAGAAACATCGAACTATAACTTGGTTTACGAACTTCGGTAAGCAAAGTGAAGAAAATTAGAATTTATGCAACAAGAATGTAAGAATTTGATAGAGAAATGAGAGAAAATGAATGTTATATGATTGCATATCATTGATGTGTAGATTGGGACGTCCCTAGGATCCTATTTATAGATGTTGAAGAGTTGTGGACGAAGTAGTGCAAGCCAAAGCACAACAGTCGCGCGTTTCCAGATTTTTGTCCTCTGTCCGCTCGCTACGTTACTCGAGCGACACTTTCAGTGAGCCCGTCGCCCGCTGTTCGCTCGAGCGACAATGCCATCTGATTTTTTTACCTTTTTTGTCCTTCCAATTTTGGACCACAATTTTTCATTCATCCAAAATTGGTTTTGAGAACAAATAAACGGGTTACGTTTTGGCTGAGGTTGACATGAAGTCACACTTTACAATGTTTGGTTTTCGATTCTTAACCAATCTTTCTCGTGTTTTAAACCAATTTCCAACAAAGGTTATATAAAAAGACAGAATTGTCCTCCCTTTGAACAAACAAAAGTTGAAAGAGAAATCAAAAAGAAACGAGGAATAAAAACATAAATGTACCAACAAAAATAAAGAACAACAAAGGGCACATCTTTCTTCATATCAACCATCAAAAGCAACAACCCACTATCCTACCGGTCATTTTCTTCCATCCCAACCTCTCGACCTTTCCTAAATTGATTGCCACCACCACTACATCTCCACCATCACTTTTCTACCATTTTTATGGGACGGGAGGACCTTTTCTGCTATGCTGAAACTGGCAGAAAAAGGGGGATCCCCCTCGCCCCTGTTCCTCTCCTCCCATAAAAATGGTAGGTGTAGTGGTCGTGGTGGTTGGAGTGAAGGAAGAGAGACCCCTTTGTTATTCTTTATTTTTGAAGGGGACGTTTGGTTTTTTTGTTTTTATTTAAAGTTTGTTTCTCTTTTACATTTTGTTTATTTAAAGAGGAAGGTAATTTTATCTTTTATTTGACATTAACAGTTGAAATGTTGGATTCTTTCATTAGAGACCTACCATGTCTATTTCTTCAAACGTTGAGATTGTTTAGTGCTATTTCTTAAAATTAAGTACATATATTTTCTAAATATTGGGAACCAAATGTACGTACTATCATCCCTCCATTATTATACGTTATTTTACAATAATAAAAAAAAAAATTATCCATCCTTTAACGTTACTTGCCGCTTGCATACTTTCTAAACAATACTATTCAGCACCACTAATTTTAAGCATCAGTTTAGGTAACAATTGCATGACATAAAATAATTAATTCATGTAAATAAAATGTCATATTATTCATTTAATTAAACATATCAAGTGTGATCACCTAAATAGACGTTCTTGCACCCCTAGTGTTGGGTAATATTATTCATTCTTTTTAGAAAGTGGGCAAAATTACTCCTCTTTTAATGTCACTTGCCACTTGCATTCTTTCTAAGTAATACTATTCGGCACCCCTGGTTTTAAACATTAGCTTATGTGGCAATTGTATGACATAAAATGATTAATTCACGTAAATGCAATGTAATATTATTCATTTAATTAAACATATCGAGTGTGATCACCTGAATTGATGCTCTTGCACCCCTAGTGTTAGATGATATTATTTATTCTTTTTAAAAGGTGGGCAAAATTACCCGCCACATAATTTATATTTATTTTATGCAAAAAGCTGACGTGATTTTAGTAAAGGTTGGGGGTGGTCCAGAATATTTATTAATTTTGTCAATTCATGTTATGAAATTAAAAAGAGAAACTTCTCACCCGACAAATTTAATTAAGCGACCAATACACTATTGACAAACAAAACAAAAGCTTTTCTATTATATCCTTGAATTTGAACTTATATTTGAAATAGTCCCCAAGATTTTAAGTAATTGTAAGGTCAAAAGTGTTTAAATATTGGTAAAAAATAATGGTAAAAAATTTCTTCAATAAAACTTACTTTTATTCAACGTATGGTATATCCTTAATCACACAAACAATATAGCTATTATTGGACTCTTTTGTGTAGGGGTTACAAAATCATATTAATGACCAAATTAAACAAAATAAAAACTTCGATAATGTGTTTAGACTAAATTAAATAAATTTAATGACTTCAAGTGATGTCAAATATTTTATAAAGGTTGAACCCCAATTTTGAGGGCCTTAGCCTCTAGAGCATTGTGGAGAATGTAAATCGCGAGATGTGACTCAACAGATCAGGGTACAAGAGTTGTTATACTGGTGCTCACAAAGAGTCCAATTCCATACTTCATAAGAGGTAGGAATCGAACCCTCATATTGTGGCTGTCAGTTCAACTGAGACCACCTCACTCATGTCCTTTACATCACTGAACTATGTCCCGGAGGGCTAATGTCAAATATTTTATAATCTTGCCGGGTATTGGTGATATAGATGAGTTGGTTAAGTAACCTCACTTTTCGATAATTAAACTTCACCCTATAAAATTAGATGTATGTATAGAATAAACACGTCATTTTAGCTTTATAGTTTACAAAGAAATAGGATGCTACGTTCTTGTGACGAAATATTTTCATTTTTTCATCTTGATGCTGTACCCGTTTCGAGTAAATATTTGCACTTGTTTTTGCTTTTGACATATTTATTAGGTTAAATGAAGCATAATTAATTCTTAATAAAGAGAAGTGTATAAAATTGCAAAAGACTAGTGTAATATTTTTGTATAGGTGCAGAATAATTAAACTTATATCGTATTTTTAAAGAAATGTCTAGCACGTAATATATCACAATTTAAATTACGACAATGACAATAATCATTCATCTCTAATGTACCCTAAGACTGTGTCACGTATCCGACTACTTAAATAGTTATCTCTCTAATTTTTCTCTATGGGTACAATTTAACTAAATAATTAAAGAAGAAAATATGAAAATAAAAAGAGAATCGTGTACTTAAATAGTTACTTATTCTCAATGTTATGTGGATAATTGAAAAGAGTAATGTTATTCAGTACTACAATCGGTGTTAAATATCAATTTAAGTGGCAACTATTAAATGATAAATTCACTTAAATACAATATCATATGATTTATGTTATTGAACATATTAAGCGGAGTCATCTAAATTAGGGCGTGTTTGATAGATATTATTGAAGAAAGAATGATTTTAAATAGAGATATGATTGAAAATATGTGGTTAAAAAGTAAGAAAAAATTATTGATGTGATGAAAAATATTATTTTATTGAAAAATGTGTGGTTGAAAATGAATTTTGAAAGAATGTGTATCAAACAGGGGTTTAATGTTCTAATATCACTAATATTAGAATCATTTAAAATTTTAAATTATTTTCTACAATATCATTCTCCACCACACATTTATACAATAAAATATTCTACACACAAATCAATAAAGTTTCTTTACTTTTTAACCACACATTCTCTATCAATCTACTATTCTATAATACATTACAAGAGCCCCGGAGCATAGCTCAGTGGTGGTAAGTACATGAGTGAGGTAGTCTCAATTGAGCTGACAGCCGCAGTGTGAGGGTTTGATTCCTACCTCTTACAAGGTATGAAATTGAACTCTTTGTAGGCACCAGTATGACAGCTCTTGTACCTTGGCTTATCGAGTCACATCCCGCGATTTACCTTCCCCACAAATGCTCTAGCGGCGCGGCGGGGCGTGGCGGGGCGGGGCGGGCAAAGTTCGGGTTCAACCTATTTTTTTTAATAATACATTACAAAAAATTAATGGCTCTTAAACAGGGCTATAGGTGGTGTGTTGGCAGCGCACATGTGGCTAAGGTTTTTTTTTTTAAAAAAAACTGTAGAATGATATTACACCACGTGTTACTCTAATTTTAATTCAACCTATATTGCAGAATGATTATTTCAATAATTGTAATAGTTAATGTGAGTTTAGGACACGTGAATTGTAACTGTCCTTTTACACCATTTTTCTTATCTCTGCAACTGACCAACTCAACATTCATTATTCATTAAATCGCTCTAATTCTCTCTTTTTTCCCTTGTAAATTCTGATGTCGACGGAGATTCCAAATGTGTCGGCATCGGCGGCTGCTGCCGAAGAAGAGAAAGCGGTGCTTCTGTATGAGCCACTGCTTCAATATCAACAGCAGCAGCAGCAGCAGCTGCAACCGTCGCAGTTTAATAATACTTCGCAAGTCGCAATTGTTGGCTCCAATCTTTGCCCCATCGAAAGCCTCGACTATGAGTACAAACTCTGCTCTTTCTGTTGTGCACGCACATAATCTCTCTCTGTCTAGTTATGTCTGGGTGAGATATATATTTATATAGCATTAATGAAAGGAGCATGGCTGCCTAAAAAGGAACTCGCTGAGAGAGTGTGCAATGACGCTGCGTATACATTGAACGATTCGTAATTGACCCTTTTTTTACGAGCTTATGATTTGGTTTTTGATTGATGTGTTATGCTGTCAATTAACATTTTGTGCCGTACGAAAAATTCTGAAAAATTTGTTGGAAGAGAAAAATGGACCGCAATTGTCTACCTCTGCTTTCTTTTGCTTGTACTTTTATAGTTTTCTTGTTTCTCGTGGCAACTGGAAAAATGAAGTGTTTTTTTTATAGATTCTTTCTTTCTTTTTGGTTATTTTCCAATATGTATCAGGATTAATTGACACTTACTTTCTTGTCTTTCTATTCTGACAAACATTTGCAATGTAATTAAGTGAAGCTTACCTATGTAGGGTTTTGGAAAATGATCTTTTCAAGCAAGATTGGAAGATCCAGAAATTTCAATACACTTTCACAAAATGGATGCTGTGTTTTCTTATTGGACTTGTTGTCAGCATCATTGGGTTCTTCAACAACCTTGCCATTGAAAACATTGCTGGCACAAAATTCGTTATCACCTCCAACATGATGTTAGCCAGAAAGTAAAATCTCAATTCCTTTTTAAGTTCACATGCGTTTGAAGTTTAATTATTTTTGTTAACTTCATTTAACNTAGTATTTGCATCTTCAAATCTTGGTTTGACACTGTTTGCGAGTCTGATAACTGCTCTAATAGCGCCAGAGGCTGCTGGTTCGGGCATACCAGAGGTTAAGGCTTACCTGAATGGTGTCGACGCACCAGCAATATTTTCTCTGCGAACTCTTTTTGTCAAGGTATTTTGGGATTCAAGTAATTGGATAGCAATGCCCTCTCTCGTGCTCTTAACCAGGATATTATTCCGTTGGAGAATTGCTCGATTACCCAAGGATTATGTATTAATTTGATAATTTTCTGTGGAGTGGACTTTTTAAGAAGCAAAAATAATCCGTGATTTAAATTACTTTGACCAGAGCCTTGAACTTCCATGACCAACATATAATTAATGTAACGGATGTTGGTCCAAATTAGAATACTGGAGATGTGAAATTTATTATCGTAATCAAGTTACTCCAAGGAAAAGCATTACTTGTTCAAGATTCAAGATGCGTGCCAATAATCCAATTATGCTTTTGCAGTTGTATAACAATTTTTGACAGGCTTTACATCCCCATTCCAAGCTGAATAAACTCAACTCAAATTATTCAGCCTGATAACTCTGATTGACCTACCATTTTTTTTTAAAATTCACATCATTAATATGCATTTAGTTGCCCCCTTTTGCTGCCATCCAGCTTTTCACTTTCCATTCCCTTCACGGCGAGCATAACTTCCCAGTTTCAAGTAAGGCCAAGAAATTGGAAATCTTTGTTTATGTTAATTATCGAGTTCCAGAGGAGGGGCAGCATGGCTCAGAACTTCGTGAATTAATTCAATTAACCGTTTTCTACAGTTACAGCTAGGAAGATATTAGAAGTGAGAGTAGAGACAAGTAATTGTCACTTGAGCATCATAAATATGTAAAGCCATCATCCACCTTTTTATCATCTTTCTGTGTCTTTGTTCAAGTTCCACTATAACTTTTATATGCCTTAACCTGGAGGCTGTTAAAAATTATGTAGTTACTGCACCATATTTTTCTGGTATTGGACCACTTCCTTCGAAACTGAGATCTTATGTCCTTTTCTTATCTTTAAATTCAGTACAATCAATTTTGAGTTTGAGGTCTTACCTGATGGCGATCTAATACACAGATTGTTGGTAGCATATCCGCTGTGTCAGCATCTCTTAAGATTGGAAAGGCAGGGCCAATGGTCCATACTGGTGCCTGCATAGCTGCGATAATGGGTCAGGGAGGGTCAAAGAAATATGGGTTGAACTGGAAGTGGTTGCAAGTTTTTGAAAATGATCGAGACAGGCGAGATCTTGTAACGTGTGGATCAGCTGCAGGAATTACTGCTGCTTTCCGTGCTCCTGTTGGTGGTGTGTTGTTTGCTCTTGAGGAAATGGCATCTTGGTATAACTTAAACCCATGACTCTCTCTCTCTCTCTCTCTCTCTCTCTCTATTTTTATGGTTGTTTTCAACCACAATGAATATTTTTTTTATGTATGCTTACGCCCCTTTGCTGCAAGTCACAGTAGTGATGAGTCCTGTGTTCATAACAAAAACTATTGTTTAATCTTACTAGATTGTAGGGAAGCTTGGTTCTACAGGGTAACTGTTAGGTTCCGACTCAAATTCCATATGATTTGGAAGTTTGATTCATGGAGAAAGTCTAGATTGATAAGGGATCAAATTTCATCATGCATCGGGAGTTTGATTGGGAAAAGGACTTTGGAATGAATGAAAAAGTGTTTCGGAACGCGCGGTGCCTAGGCGCCGGTAGCGCACAAGGGACACAACAGGCCAGTTCCCCAATGCCGATTTTTGTGCTCTACTTCATCCAGAACTCCAAGATTGCTCTTCTATATCCACGTGGTGTAGACTCTTCGTAGACTCAACATAACAATTAGATAATTGTTATATACATTAGAAATTTGAGAGAATTGTTTNATAATTGTTATATACATTAGAAATTTGAGAGAATTGTTTAGATTTAGATTGAGAGTATCAAATCTTGTTAAATAATTTTAGTTTTTTGGTATAATAAATTCTCCTCTTCTTTCACAAAAAACTGGGTTGTTGTGTGATCCATTATTTTTCATATTGCTCATATTATTCACATCTTTAATTATTGGCCAGATTCTCAATAGTAACTATTCCTTCTTATGTCAGCTATTTTCCGAGCACAATTAGTCAGCGCTTGATATTCTAAGGCAAGATATTTCCGATGTTATGAATTATTGGCATACATAACTGAATGATGTTAATATTTTGGTGATTATAAACTATGTGATAGTGTGGAGATTCCTTTACCCGTCACTCTATTGAAGTCACTCATTCACGATTTTCTTCTGCAGGTGGAGAAGTGCTCTTCTGTGGAGAGTTTACTTCACTACTGCCGTTGTTGCAATTGTCCTTCGGGCCCTTATAGATGTTTGTTTGAGAGGCAAATGCGGACTATTTGGTAAAGGAGGTCTGATTATGTATGATGTCACCTCAGCAAACATATCTTATCACCTCAGGGATGTGCCTCCTGTTCTCGTTCTTGGAGTCATAGGGGGCATATTAGGAAGTATCTACAATTTTCTACTAAATAAGGTTCTCCGACTTTATAATTTTATTTACAAGTAAGATTTCAATTTTTTTACTTTTCATCCTTCGCTTCATTATATACTATTATTTATGGGGATCTGATATCATTTTAGCCCAACTGTTTTATCACTTCGAGAATTATCTGACTGTGTTATCACTTCGAAAATTATTTACGTTGTTCTTCTTTCTTCGTCTCAGAAAAGGAATCTTTTACAAGATAATTTTGGCTTGCTGTATCTCCATTTTCACTTCCTGTCTTCTATTTGGATTACCATGGCTTGCGTCTTGCCGTTCTTGTCCATCAGATACATCAGAGCCTTGTCCAACAATTGGCCGGTCTGGTAATTACAAGAAATTTCAGTGCCCTCCTGGTCATTATAACGATCTTGCAAGTCTCTTTTTCAACACGAATGACGATGCAATCAAGAACCTCTTCAGCAAAGACACCGACTCAGAGTTCCATCGCTTATCAATGCTAATTTTCTTTGTTACGTGCTTTGTCCTCAGCATTTTTAGTTATGGAATTGTGGCTCCTGCGGGTCTCTTTGTGCCAGTTATTGTGACAGGTGCAGCTTATGGACGTTTTATTGGGATGATAATTGGTTCACACTCGAACTTAAACCATGGCCTCTTTGCTGTTCTGGGTTCAGCTGCTCTTCTTGGGGGATCTATGAGGATGACAGTTTCCTTGGGTGTGATAATTCTTGAGCTGACCAACAATCTATTGTTGCTGCCACTTATAATGCTTGTTCTTCTTATCTCCAAGACTGTAGCCGATGCATTTAATGGAAATATATATGACCTCATAATGAAATCAAAGGGTTTTCCTTATTTAGAAACTCATGCAGAGCCATATATGAGGCAATTGACAGTTTGTGATGTGGTTACAGGGCCACTACAGATCTTCCATGGCATTGAGAAGGTTGGAAATATAGTACATGTTCTCAAAACCACGGGACATAATGGGTTCCCGGTGGTAGATGAGCCCCCGCTTTCTGAGTCCCCAATTCTATTTGGTTTAATCCTGCGAGCCCATCTTATCACATTGTTAAAGAAGAAAGCTTTCTTGCAAACTCCGGCACCAATTGGCCCTGATGCCTTTTTACAGTTTTCCTCTAATGATTTTGCCAAGAAGGGTTTGGGTAATGGTGATAAAATTGAAGATATAGAATTGTCAAATGAAGAGATGGAAATGTTCATAGATTTGCATCCTTTCACCAATGCAACACCATACACCGTTGTAGAGACAATGTCTCTAGCAAAGGCCCTCATACTTTTCCGAGAAGTTGGCTTAAGGCACCTGTTGGTTGTTCCCAAGGTTTCTGGGGTAAGAAAATTTGTCCCATCAACTTTCTTAACTGTTTCTTGCTCTACTGGTGCATCTGAAGTATTTCACTTGCTCGAGATGCCTTTCGGTTTTACTTGAATGCATAATTATGATGACCCTTATTCTCCCTTTCTGTCTGTTGACACTTGACGGCCATCATGCTTTTATAATGTTTCTCTTTTCATGGTATGTTTGGCTAAGCTTAAAAAATGTAAGAGATCATTTTAATTAACTTTTTTGTTTCCAAACATGTTTGAATTTGTTATATTATTTTCTTACTTTTAAGTGAACAAGTTACTTATTTTGAAATTAACTCTTGCCTAACTACCTTACCATCAAAAACTTATTCCAACTTACACAATATAAAAAAAAAAAAAATGTATTCAATTTAGAACTTATTTAACTAAGTGAACCTTTTAAACTTATTAAAACATGCTCCAAGTTTTCTTCTTTTCCTTGTGATCCTGAAAATACCGCGTTATGCTTTCTCATTGAATGAAGTTCCATTACAACTTCTTATCAGTTATGATGCAACAATTCTATGTGCACAAGTTGTATCACAAGCACATGTAAGCATACGAACATGCATGTGTGTATTTCCAGTGCTTCTCCATGGTCCTAGTTTTATTCAAATGGTGTTATTGCTTTTTCCAGCGAATTCCCGTTGTGGGCTTATTGACAAGGCACGATTTCATGCCAGAACATATCCTGAATTTGCATCCCTCGTTGGCACGAGGCAGGTGGAAAAGGTTAAGGTTCCAGTTTCCTCGTTTGGGCAGACTTATTAGAGGGTTATGGTAGAGCTGTGCCATTATGCCGGGAGTTTTGTGAATAGCCTTGTCCGTGCAGAGTTCCTAAATGAATCGACAATATATTCTTCTGCTTCTTCAACGCTGTAAAGGACCTTCGTACCATTTGCAGCCCCCATTAGTGGGCTTCAAGCATGTTTTTTCATTATACTGAAGTTGATCCTTCATCCACGATCCAGAGATTTACCCATTAAAAGGTCCTTATTATTCCATTAGGCATTTTTTTGGGTCACAATCTTTCTTTGTATTGAACTGCGCAGTATATATTTTACATACCTGTAACTATAAACATATTGGAAATGCACCACAATAAGATTGAATTTCAGCTATTTTTGTACCATTACAATGATAAGTTAGTATAGTTTTCTTTGCTTAAGGTTATGAATTTTTCTATCCTGCAGATTTAGTTCTGTCATAGTAGCTGTTTTTATGCTCAAACCTCTGTGGGCAGTGGTTGAATGTTGTTTGACTAAGCTTAAAAAGAAGTAAAAGTAACTTTTTATTTTTTAAGTTTGTGTTTTGGCAGACATAATTCTAGATTTTTTTTTTACTCAAATAACTTGCACTTTTTAGAAAGGAAATCTTACTTTTTCGAAAAAGTAACTTTTAAGCATAGTCAAATCTTAGGATGGAATTGCTGCTTATATATGAGTTTTTAGTTTCTTTTGTTGTGAGAGCATGCTTGGTTAAGCTGATGCACTATAAATAAAAATATCGATTAAATCCATGAATATGAGATCTGCTTTATCGATCTTATCTTATGTCATTTCATACTATAATTATCTCTAATAAAGATAAATACCATTAGTCTATGCTTAGTGGCAGCCCAAGAGATCTTTAATAAATGGTCTCTGATTGGATTTTCATTCAATGCAAGACAAGGGACATTGTTTATTTAAAGACTTCAAAGGTTAAAGGACGGTTAAATAGATTTATGTAAATTTTATCCTTAACAAGGCCGTTAAGAACGTAAATAAATAAGAGAAAAATTCACAACTCAGGTTTTATCTATCTCAAAATCAAAAATCAGATCCCAAAATTTAGAATTGCAAAAATCAAGTTTTTCATAAATTAATTAATTATATTTCACAATTATTATATTAAATTAAATATTAAACTGTAATATAGAATTTGTCTGGTGCCGATTTTCGCCCAAATTGTAAGCATTTTTTCAACCGTTATAAGTGAATTGACAGCCGCATTAATTGACCAGATTTGACATAATTACACTTTCACCCTTTTGACATTTAATACCTGAAATTGAAAGGAGGGCATTTACGGTAATTCAATTCATTTTTAGTCAAAATAATACAGCTACCCAATTTCCCAAGAATTCCCAACGGCTCCAATTTCCCTTAAAATCTGGCCAGAATCCACGCCAGACACACCC